TGGGGAACCTTCCAGGTGACTCTGATGCAATCTCAAGTTTGAGTATGAGCTCCCAACTGTTACCAGTCTGGGGGGCTCTGTCATTCGCTGCTTCCCACGCTGCTCTCGTCCTGCTGCACCCTCTCTCTGAAACTTCTCCCTGCAGACTCTTTTCCACCTGCCAGCACCCTGCAGTACTCCCCACAAAGCCCCTCTCAGAGATTGCTTATTTAAAGAACGAAGGCTTCTTTTCTTTACCTTCATGCCTGTTCCTGTAACCAGCTTTGCCATCTCTCCTCAGAATGATCCTCTTCCTATTCTGAACCTATTTTCCCCTCTTATGATGGTTTTCTTGCACTCCCTGTATCATCCCTGTACTTGCCCCCTTAAAGCTGTCAATCTGAGACTAACAGTCCGTGTCCCTCGCACGTCTACTACCTTCTCTGTCCTCAGGGAAGTGTTCAGTAAAGCGCTGTATTGAATGACTACTACTAACCCACAGAACATCTTACTTAAGGTGAAGTACGTTGACAGAAAAGAGAGGAGGAGTGATGAGCCCCTTTCAGAATGTCTTACAAAGTAGGATTCAAAATATAATTCTTGGACAGAGCAAATGTTTTAAAATGATTCCATTTCTCTCTCCCATCAAAACATCTGTGCTGTGGCTTCCCCTCCCCCGACTGCCCGAAGACTTCCACACTTGACATGCTCCCAGTTCTTTCACGCATACCCCTTCGCCCACATCAAAGTGACTTTTCCTGAGCAGTGAGGATTTGAGAATTTGCCATCAGGCATTCAGAATTGAATGTAATGCTTCCACATGGTCTCAGTTGTGTGTGATGAAGAAAGAACATCTTTTTTTGTTGTTTGGAGCTCTTTTTGAGCTCCCAACAGAACTCACTCCTACACTCCTTAACTAGTTTAGCCACCACACCACCTTTGGTAGCTCTTGTGGTCAACTAAAACCACTAGGTATTTTTCCTCACCGGAACTGCTAAGTGTCAGACCTCCCTGAGGTGAATTGGAGCAGAGATTATTTTCATAACTGTGTTGTTTCAAAGAGACTCAAAATTATGCTGCATCTTGGAACATGGCTGCAGGAAATGGGCTCTGAGTACCCACAGTCCCAAAGTCCTCCATCCAAATGGGACACACCACTGATACTCAAAGGTCCTGTGGTCTTGTACATTCTTTAAGATCTCAGAGTACAGGACTATCCCCTACCTACAATTCCAAAGTCCAAAAAACTCTGAAAACCAAATTGGTTCTTTTTGTTTTTGTTGTTTGATTTTCTTTTCTTAAGAAATCATTTGATGGCAGAACTTGACCTGAAGCTATTTACAGTCTATATTCTTCCCACCTAGTGTGAGTTCAGGCATTTTTCTGTAGAAATGTTTTATTTGACTAAAGGTTTTTTTCTCCAATGTTCATTGAAGGTTTACTGCCAAATATTCAATCTGTTTATTGCAGTAAACTTTTTTTAAAAGGTTTTATTTATTTGACAGAGAGAGCATGAGAGAGAGAGATATCTTGAGCAGGGGGGAGGGGTAGAGGGAGAAGCAGACTTCCCACTGAGCAGGGAGCCCAATGTGGTACTCAACCCCAGGACTCCTGGTTCATGATCTGTGCTGAAGGCAGATACTTAACTGACTGAGCCACCCAGGTGCCCCATTGCATTAACTTTTTAAATAAAAAACAAAATCAAATCTGAAATCAGAAACACATCTGACCTTAAGGGTAGCAGATGAGGGATTAAGAACTTTTGTCCAAGCCCTACATAAATGTGAAAATAAAACAAAACAAAACAATTTAGGCATTGTTTTTCTGTTTGGTGACATGGTATCTACTTTGAGTGCTGTAAATAGAGCCACCTTTGATTGGAGAAGTCTTGTGTTAACACTGAACACTGCCAATCCCGATTATTTCTAACTAATCTTTCCAATGACCTAGAGACGGAGGCCACCAAGAGTGCCCCTATTATTTCCACATGTAAGTGAAATCCCCAAGATCACGTTGTGGCCATCTTGGGAACCTGGTGACGCTTCTGGCACTCACTTCCACCTAAAGTATTTAGATTCATAAAAACACAGGAAATTAAATTAGAAGGCTTTCCTCTTATACATCTGTCACATTAGAACTTTCTGGAATAAAATTTTACCCGTTTAATACAACTTCATGTTATAAAATGAAGCATAAATGATATCAAAGCCTTTTTATTCTAAAGTGTGGTCTCAGGGGGCCTGGCTGGTTCAGGTGGTATAGCATGCAATCTTGATCTCAGGGTCATGAGTTTGAGCTCCACATTGGGCACAGAGATTACTTAAAAAAAAAAAAAAGGAAAGAAAAGAGGAAAAAAGGTATAGTCTCTACAAATTGTCTTTTTATTTTTTATTTTTAAATTATTTGACAGAGTGAGAGAGAGGGAGAGAGAGAGTGCAAGAGCACATAAGTGGGGCAGAGAGAGAGGGAGAAGCGACTCACCACTGAGCAGGGAGCCCAAGGTGGGGCTTGATCCCAGGACTCTGGGATCATGATCTGAGCTGAAAGCAGACGCTGAACCAACTGAGCCACCCAGGTGGCCCTATACATTGTCTTTTTAAAACGTGTGAGTGGTGAGTTGAATTCTTGCATGACTTTTTTTCCAAAATTAAAATTATATCTGATTTTTCAGCCATGAAATAGTTGTAGCACTGTCCATACCTTCAAGGGTTGTGGTGTGCATTACAGTTTCAGTTTTTTTTAAGATTTTTTTTTTTTTTAATTTGACAGAGAGAGAGAGATCACAAGTAGGTAGAGAGGCGGGCAGAGAGGGAGGGGGAAGCAGGCTCCCTGCTGAGCAGAAAGCCTGATGCGGGGCTCGACCCCAGGACCCTGAGATCATGACCTGAGCTGAAGGCAGAGGCTTAACCCACTGAGTCACCCGGCGCCCCTACAGGTTCAGTTTTATAAAGTGCCGAAGTGCAAAAGAGAGCACTGAGCAAATGGTGGGTGTGTAGTTGGCTTTATGTATTTATAACTGCCGGTTCCATCAGGAAAAATGTCAAGGCTCTTCTCTTAACCTAGTAACTTCAGGTAGTCAAAATGTAGTTAATAGAGAACTGGAACCTCCATCCAACCAGGCAGAAGTAGAAAACAAAGACACAGAGAGGAGAGGTGGGACGCAGGAAGCTAACTGGCCATGGAGGGTTGCCATTATAATGGTGAAGGTTGCCTGAGCTCGGAGAGGGGAGGAGAATCTGCTTTACTTCCATCCAGAGTACCAGATGCTGGTGTTTCAGGGCTGACTGCTTTTCCAGCAGCTACTTCCCCAATGAGGCAGTTCCAGCAAAGGGAACTGCCTTTGGCAACATTGGAAAGGAGTTTATACTTAGATTTCAGTGCCCTTAATCTGTCCCACTGTGTAAGTAAATAAATACAGTCCCTTCTTCTATTGACCTCTTTTATGTTTTGGGGACAGGAATTGAGGTTTTTGCAGTATAATATCTTCCATAGGAGAAGGCCTGGACTTTCTCGGTGTGATTCTGACAGAACTCAGGGAGGTCTGCATAGAGGGGCTGTGGAGTGTCCCTCCTACTGAGGACACCTTGTCAAGCCTATGAGTTTTACCTCAGATTTAGTGAGCTTCATGGTTGTAAGAAGGGAAAAAGGCAACTTTTCTCCTTTTCCTTCCTCCTGGACTCTTCCACCTTCCAGTGGCAACCAAACCATCTGAGGAAAGAGAGGACTGGCCTTCCCTTGAGCAGTTAACTTTGCAATGTTGGGTCAAAGCGAGGCAGTGACTCTCAAGCCTGGGCACACAGTATATCCATGGGAAAGCTTTTTCTTAGTGACACAAACACCTCACAGTAGAACCACAAAGCAGGGTCTGAGAGGGTAGAGGAGCAGCCATTCTACCTTTCAACTCCTCCATAACGATCAGGGATGTGCCGATATCAAGCATTCTGCACTCCACCGGCGACCCTATTGTGACACAAACACCTACCCAGCCTCTCATTCTGCCCACCAGTCATGAGGAAGCTGGAATCCTCCTGATGAGGAAAGAGACTGAGCTTGCTGTCCCTTGGGTATGACGTGGCTGGAGCACATCCTGGGAGTGATGAGGCCCAAGGTGACAGAGGAAAGGCTCACAGACTTGAGAGGAAAAGCTGAATGAAAATGGCAGGGGTGCCTGGGTGGCTCAGTGGGTTAAGCCTCTGCCTTCGGCTTCGGTCCTGGGATCGAGCCCTGCATCAGGCTCTGCTCAGTGGTGAGCCTGCTTCCCCCTCTCTCTGCCTGCCTCTCTGCCTACTTGTGATCTCTCTCTCTCTCTGTGTCAAAATAAATAAATAAATAAATAAATAAGTAAATGAAAATGGCAAAAGAAAGCAGAATTGAGAGAAGTAAAACAAGGTGAAGATAAACTTACTAATTTTCTAGAGACTTCTTAGGGATTCTTTACACTCTCTCTCCACATAACATGCTAGGTCATATGCGTGATTCTGAAATGAAATGTGAGCAGGTGGGTGTGTGCAGAAGGCTGACTGTTGTGAATCAAGTTAGCAGCTGTGCAGACATCATATGGTGATAATATTCTACCTTCGTGAGCGTGGCACTTGTGAATCAAGAACTTCAGAATATTTTAAGGAAGGGCATTTAAAAAAATGCACAGGAAAATAGGTGAAAATCTAGGGAACAGTAGAATATTTTATCCCTTCCTCTAGGTACCCACACCTAGGCAACACACATAAAATGAAATCCTAATGACGCCTGTTAAGCCTATTTGAAAACAAATCCTATTTGGCCCTATTAAGGGATATTCAGGCTGTCAACTCCTGGTTTTCATTTTTTTTCTTTCTTTCTTCCTTCCTTCCTTTCTTTCTTTTTTTTTTTTTTTGATCAAAGGATGGAGGTAGAACTTGTACAAGTTCTTTAAACAGTGTAACAGTGTAACTATATGGAATCCCCTCCCATTTCCCCCAAATGATATTCATTTTTATGATGATGATAACTGAAAATGTTAAACACAAGGAAAAAGCTCGAGATGTTATTGGGCCAGGTGTATTAAAATAAAATCAAAAAATAGAAATATTAGGCATATACACAAGAGCATAAGTGAAACATGAGGTGACATAGCATTTTCTATTCAAAACTTACAGTAGAAAACTTTAGTAAACAGAACCTCTCGTATCCTGTGTTACGGGGGCTCTTTCCAGCCTCATTAGTCACTTATTCTGCTTTCATATCTTTGTATAAATAATCTCACACATGCCTTACACAATTTAGAAAAGATTGCTGAATCACAAAAATAGACCCAAAGATCGCATTTTTACTTTTCTCAAGTACAACTAAAATTAACATTTCATCATTAAAATAACGTTCAAATCATTGGAAGCAATAAAGAAAATTCTTACATTTTTAAGGACCCAAGAGGCCCTGCAGAGATTAGAATCTTATTACTCTCCCAAAGTAAACTGTCAAGAAAGTGTCTATATAAGAAATTGTGGAATTGAAAAGGTGGACTGTTAAAGATATTCCTTCTTAGGGTACAGCCGTTCCCGAGGCCCTGGTCCCTGTCCTGAGAGATCTGGGCCAGCCCTGGCTGTCGGCGGGGTCCACGCTGGGACACACAGCAGCTCTGCATGCTCACAAGGGACATTTCTACAAGGACAGACCAGAAAGAGCCCTGTGGCTGTTCTGCTTCATGTGTGGGGTTCCTGAGCAGTCTCCACGGAAGGAAAATGTTTAACAGTCTCAGATTTCAGGGGGAGGGGACCTCACCGAAATCTGGGAGAGACCATTTTAAGGTTCAGACTTCACCTGCAAAATTAACAGATTGGATTAGTAATTTTTTTAACAGATAAGCCAAAGCATAGAGAAAATGCAAAGAAGGGTCATGATTTGCATCTGGTTATTTGACTTTTATAAATGAGTTTAAGTCTGTTACTATTTGAGATTCACTGCAATGGCCTCTGAACCTCAGAGTCACACATTGAGCTGTAAACAAGAGGCCAGGGTGGGTGCATTTTGGACAGAACAAGTGTTTTCTTCTCAGAAGGCTGTCTGCAGATGTGGTTGAGAAAAGCAAGATTGCCAGCTGGGACGGGTCCAAGTGGCAGTCAGTGGGCATCAGCCAATGAGAACGAGAATACTTTTCTTCCATATCGAGAGTGTCCTTCCTGAGTAACCTAGCCTCACTTTCAGGAAGCAGGGATGGTGGGTGGTCCACTTGCGTGAGATCCTAGCGCAACCAGGGATTATTCTGTCTTCTTTTTGTAGGAGGCAGCCGTCCCAGTGAATGGCCATGAGTCTTCCTGTGCTTTAAGGCTGCTGCTGATACTGCCCTTCCGTGGCAGTGTAGAAATCATCCAGGACGCTCTGCAAGTAATCGAATGTTGGCCTCTCTTCTGCCTTTTCCTTCCAGCACATTTTCATGATGTCATAGAGCTCGTCTGGGCAGTTCTCCATGCGGGGCATCCTGTAGCCCTGGGACAGGGCGGTCATCACATCGGCATTAGTTCTCCCTAAAGCAAAAGAAATGTACCATTGAGAAATCTGACCCAGGGTCAGAGCGTTGCAGTGGGCTTTCTGATCCTCACATCCCGAATTCATTTTTTTTTTTTAAATTTTACTTATTTGAGAGAGAGCGAGAGTGAGCACAGAAGGAGAAGCAGACTCCCTGAGGAGGGACTCAATCCCGGGACCCTGAGATCAGGGCCAAAGCTGACAGCAGAAGCTTAACCAACTGAGCCACTCAGGCACCCCATCTGGCATCCATACTTGAAGCAAGCTTTAGAGGTGGTTATGGGCTGAATGGTGCTCCGCCCCCCATAAATTCATATGTTGGGAGTCCTCAGAACTGTGAACTCCTCAGTCCTCAGCCTTGGAGCATGACTGCCTGTAGAGATAGGGTTTTTAAAGAGGTAATCAAGTTAAAATGAGGCCTTGAGGGTGGACCCTAACCCAATCTGACTGATGTCCATAGAAGAAGAGATTAGGACACGGAGACCTGGGATGTGTGGGCATTGTGTGGGCACCAAGGAAATGCCCGTGTGAAGACACAGACAGAAGGTGGCCATCTATAGGCCAACAAGGAGCCTCAGGAAAAGCCAAACTTGCCAACAACTTGTCGCAGATGTCTGGCCTCCAAAACTGTGAGAAAATTAATTTGAACTTTTCAGTCTGTGGTATTTTGTTATGACAGCCCTCACAAATGGATAGGGAGGCTAAGGAGACATCTGTGAGCAACTAAATAATGTAAATTTTAGTATGAAGGGGATCAAGACAGTATTGTTTGTCTGAGTGAGAACAGGCCAAATGGGAAGTAGAAGACAGAGCAGGTTCTAATGGCAGAAGCATAATGAACTTGACTGACTCTCAGATGAACTACTCAAACCCAATCCTAACCCTCAATCTAATTCCTTTTGTAGTATTGTTTCCAGCTTCTACCTGCAATACACATACCAAAAAATCATCTTCACATACGTTATCTCATACCAATATATATATATATTTTAAATCAGCTTCTCCTGTAAGTTTACTAGAAGAAGTCAAAATCTTTAAATCAGCTAGTCCAATGGATTATGTCCCAATCATTAAACTGTCCCCTACAAAAAAAAAAAAACAACAACAAAAAAAAAACAACAACAAAAAAACCTGTCCCCTACAAAGTCTTCAATACAGGCCAGAGTCAGAGCTCACACTGATTCTGGATATGAGTGTTCTCAACACCCAGTGAGGGAAGTGGGGTGTTCATTATTCTTACTGAGCTCTACAAGAGGACTGGTAATGAAGGGCAGCTTTTAATATGGTCAAATGACTCAGGGTAGTTCAGAAGCTGAAATGTCCACCTTTGATATCAAGAACAGGTTTAAGGGGGAAAAAAAGATCATTTTCCTCCATGATTAAAATGGGACAGAGGAATATGCTCATTTAGTGGTTCAGCAGGACCTACCCACATCTGCATGTTTTGTGTGTTTTGTGGATACCTTATTCTGTAGGGAAAAAGGTATTACATGCAGCGTATTTTCAGGCAGAATATGTCTGATGACTGGTACATGGAGAATTCCATTTACCACAATCAATTTCCTTTCCACAGCCATAGATTTTTACCACTGGTGGTCACTGGGAAGATTCTAAAAGATAGCTATTTTACTAGATTTGAAACAGAGCCTTCTTTTGAATTTATCCTCTAATCTGTGTTTCTCAAATTGTGGGTCACTACCCATTTGAGATCAACAAATTGATTTTTTAGGCAGCTACCAGTATTCTTAAAAATAAATCAAAACAAAATGAAATAGCAAAGACCAGAATGCACCGCACATAGTGAGAGTTAGTGAGATTTTGTGAAACTTTTATTCTATTTGTGGAGTGGGGTTTCTGTTTATTTCTTAACCATGGGGCATGATCAGTGACCTTTGAACTCCTCTGCCCTTAACTAAGCTTTCTTTTTCTAAGAACAGTGACTGAAGGCCCTGCCTAGATTTAAACCCTAACCCTAGAAAGAAGACCTGATTACTTCTGTCTTGGAAGAGTCCTTCTTTTTTGAAATGGAAAGTTCCAAGCAAACTTGATAAATGAGGAAATCTCTTGAAAGTTGTTTACATGGTGAATTAATTTTGCTGAAGTCTTCTGAACCACAATCTTCAGATATTTGTGTAACTGGAATGTTCTAACGAAAAGACTTCAATTTATTCTCATTGCTTGAAGCCAAGAGACTGATTTGCAGCCCTTTCTTCATTTGGGGTTCCAGTCTCCAGAAAGTATGTGGTTTCAGCATAGCTCTGGCTCTTGCCATGAACCCTGCTCACTTGGATAAATGTCAGGTGAAATCCCTCTATTTGCTTTTACATGGGCACTGGGTGAAGCTCTGGGATCCTGGGAGGAAGACTAACATTCAAGATGACAGAAAATGGCAGCTCGATGGCCAACTTCTGGAATATCTCTTTCACTTTCCGCCTAGAGAACCCCCAGCTGAGATGATTTTTCTAGCCCCACCCCGGCCTTGTCCCACTGCAGATTTCTCCTTCCTCATTCTCATATGTTTTCCTAATTCTGCAGGACTCTCCATGGTGCAGATAAAGTCCAGGTGTGCTCCATCCTGTCTGGGGGAATCTGACTTGGTAAGAGGACTAGAAAGAAAGAAATCTGAATGCCTGAGTAAATAAGGCTATTAAGTGACAAGTCTTATGGAAGAAAGAAAGAGAAGGGGAGGGAGACCTCAACCAAACCCTAAGATTAAACCTGATACTTGGTCATTGCTCTGTTGCTAGATTAAAGAAAGCAAACACCCACTGGCTGGTGATCAGAAAAGCAAGCAGTTTCATGTTCTAGCCCCCATTCTCTCCACAAGCATTTCCTGAGCGCTTACTATGGGACACAGGCTAACACTAAGCTCTGACAGATACAAAGACGATGAAGACTGAGCGTTGTCCACAAATGGCTCACAGCCCAATGGGGGAGATACCCCAGAAGAGGGAGGTCGGTGGGGAGCAGGAAGTGAAATCTGGAGTGGATAGGAATTAGCAGAGACTAGAAGTTGGTGACGGAGCACAGGGAGGAGAAAAGTGCAGTACGGCAGAGAAGAGAAAAGAAATAGAGAGTGAGCAACTCTCCTCTGGATGGGAATCCAGCAGCTCCAGAAAGAAAGTCTTTAGAGACAAGGGGCCTTTTTGTGTGTGAGAGCAAGAAGTAGGGGCTGCCATGAGACATAGTTTCCCATCCGGTAGTACTTCCAAAAAGGCGATTTTTTCAATGTTGTTTTGAGTACTGCCTGTGATCAAAGTAAGCACTTACAGAAGATGAGTTCCCTGATTCCAATTTACACGTGTTACTAAGATGCTGGACACGTCTGGGAAGAAACAGCCAGAGAAGACATGAAGCTTCAGAAAATTGTGTCACTTTCAAGCCTCCTTTTTCTTTGTAAGAGCAAAGTAAAACAAACCCCCAACCACAAAGATCCCTTCTATATTCCTCAGAAAATTCATATATGGACATTATCATAGTTTGCTTTTAAGCTAGTGAGGTAAGGATCTTTGGCCTCCCCTCCTTTTCCCCCTTTAATTCATCCTAAAACCATGAGAACAAAAATCAAAAACTTAAACTCCATCTTTGGTGTCATGCAGAGGTAGAAGTGGGTTGAGCCAAGAAGAGGAACGTGAAACTGAAGTGCCATCAAGAGAGGAACCCCAGCAACAGGCCGCATGTTTCACCCTGCCCTGGGAAGGGTCCCCATGGAGCCACACCATGGAGTGAAGGGAGAGGTTGGTGGCTGCAGACAGACTGTACCCAGAACCCACCTGGTAGGTGCCCCAGGTTAACGCCAGGGAACCTGCAGGAGACGAACCCCACCCCCCATCCCACCCCCGCTCAGGAATGCCAGTGGAGGTGGAGTCAAGTGTGGGATGGAAAAAAGTCAAGTGTGGGATGGAGAAAGGCAGAACATGGAAAAAATGAGACCCTTCTAACACACGCCACAACCTGAATGAACCTTGACGACACCACCTTCAGGGACAGAAGTCAGACACGAAAGGACAAATACTGTATGATTTCACTTAGAGGAGCTGCCTAGAGTTGTCAAATTCACAGACGCAAAAAATAAAATAGAAGGTACCAGTGGCTGGAGGGTAGAGGAATGGGGAGTAATTGATTTATGGTTATAGTTTAAGGTTGTGATGATGAGAAAGTTGGGGAAACTAGGAGTGAGGATGGTTGTGTACCAATGTGAGTATGTTTACTGCTACTGAACCATACATTTTACTCTGTGTATATTTTACAATAAAAAAATACAATGACAACAACGAAAGACACTGACGCCCCCTCCCTAGTGCACCTCCAGATTGCTGACAGCCAGGTTCGTCCCCCACAGGCAGGACCTGGAAGACGCTGACCCAGGAGGGCGCTAACAAGGATGCCGGGGACCACCACAGACCCTCATTCCCATAAAACATCTCATCAAAGGAAGGGTGAGGAGATAAGCCTTCGAGCAGTACTAAGGGCAGAGTAAGAGAAACAGAAGAGCAGACAGGAGACTCAGAGCGGCTTCCACCTTCCAGCATGGGACTCAGAGAACAGAAAATGGAGAAGAAGATATCTTCAAACTTCCCAGAATTCATGGCTACAGGTTTCCAATTAGAAGGGACAAAACAAGTACCCAGCCTAACATAACAACGACCAGTGAAAGTTCAGGCATAAAGAGAGATGCTGAGTTCTTCCACAGAAGAAACAGGATCCAAGACACAGGACAGGATTCAGAAGCCATCCACTTTGGCCCAGCTGCACAAGAAGCCAGATCCAGGGCAGGAATTTGTTTAAAATTCTAGGCGAAAGGTTGGTGTACTAGTATTCACAACATAAGCAAAATTGATAATGGTACCTACTTAGCAATTTAATTTTATCTAGGTCATGAGTCTCTCAAGAAAAAGTCCTATTTGGACAAAGTCCCAAGTATGAATTAGAAGCAGAATACTAACTCTGATGCCTCAAATTTTCATGAGGACCAACTCCAAAGTCATGTATAGCAGCAACCATGATGAGCTGTCTTTACTCATTCTGTGCTCACTTACCAATGAGAACAAGAGAAGCCTTAAGAATAGGATTCCTCATAGCTTTGAGCCTGGGTGGGGGGAAACTAAAGATTTTAAAACTCAACAGAAAATTATTGAAATGGACTACAGTAGTTGAAAACAAAGCATTTGCCCAAATTATGATTGATAGGTACAGGCCTCTTTCTAAAAAATGTGTTAAGAAAAAGACTTCTCCTGGGGGCGCCTGGGTGGCTCAGTTGGTTGGGCAACTGCCTTCAGCTCAGGTCATGAGTCTGGAGTCCCAGGATCGAGTCCCACATCGGGCTCCCTGCTCAGCAGGGAGTCTGCTTCTCCCACTGACCTCTCTCCTCTCATGTTCTCTCTCTTTCAAATAATTAAATAAAATCTTAAAAAAAAAAAAAAAGAAAAAAAGAAAAAGACTTCTCCTGAATTACATTTGGTGTGTACAGAAGCTCAGGATATTAGATGTACCTGTTTGACTAATCTATTTCAACACAGAGGACTGCAAATGGGAAATGACACTCCTACCCTCTACTGTCCCATATTTAGTATTTGACTACTAGAATTTTGACAGGTAACTTTCACTGACAAAATTGTGTATTTTACTCTCTTATTCCCAGAAGTTTGCTCTCCATTGGAGATATCAGTTTTGGCAACCAGCCAACATGTGTATTTGGTATACCTCTAGTTGTGCCTCCATGGATATTTCTAGAATGTTTCTGTTCAATTCGCCATAAAGTGATAATAAGGGTTCCAATGGGGGCAAGGGGAGGAGGGGTGAGTGGAGATGAGGAATAAAAGACACACCACTTCCACCATATATTTCTTTGTATCTCTTGAATTAGAACCATGGGATCATACTCTTAATGATACATAAAATGGGAAATTTTTTTACTTAAGAGATAATAGTATAATGTTTTGAATTCTGAGCAACAAATATTAAAACAAATAACTAAAATTCCTGAAAGTAAATGCCTTTGAGGAGCATGAAGCCAGGGAGGCAATTTTTCATTAAAAGTAATTTCGTACTACCTGATTTTTTTGAAGCATGTATATTACTTAAGGATGAGCTGAAATATTTAATAAAGACATAATTTTTTAAAAATTAGAAAAAAATTAAAACTGGAAACTTCAGAAGCTTATCAAAAAGAAAATTAATAAAACCTATCATCTTATTGCCCAAGGATAGTAACATCTTGGTATATTTCATCTTTTAGTCTTTTATTTCCTTTAAAAAATACATGTTCACTTTATATTTGCTTTCCTTATTTCCTCTTTGTTTTGTCCCCTCCTCTCTCTTATTTCCATTATGTTGCAAAGCTAGGCATATGGTTTTTAAACCACTTAAAAAAAAAAAAACCCAAACTTAACATATCCAGCACTCTTCTGGGTAAAGAAAATATGCCCAGATAACTCAATTATCTGCAAGTGGGTCTCTCCCACTTGCAGCTTTCTAACTGATGGAAATGGCCTGTGTTGGCATCATTCACCAATTTCTGTGGTACCTATGAATCAAATCCTCTGATATTTATGTAAGTAGGATTGTTCAGTTCTATTTGCATCTCCTAATGCTACAGGCTTTTCTCATGACCAGAATACATCACCACTCTAGAGCTCCCGATGGTATTTTAAAGGACAAGCTACCAGGGTAGCTAGTAGATTGTATTACTTATTACGTTATGTTAGTCACCATACAGTACATCATTAGTTTTTTTTTAAAGATTTTGTTTATTTATTTGAGAGAGAGAGAGAGAGATCACAAGTAGGCAGAGAGGCAGACAGAGAGGGGGGAAGCAGGCTTCCCCCTGAGCAGAGAGCCCAACGCGGGGCTCAATCCCAGGACCCTGAGATCATGACCTGAGCCAAAGGCAGAGGCTTAACCCACTGAGCCACCTAGGTGCCCCCCATCATTAGTTTTTGATGTAGTGTACCATGATTCATTGTTTACTTATAACGCCCAGTGCTCCACGCAATACGTGCCCTCCTTAATACCCATCACTAGGTTCACTCACCCCCCCATCCCCCAAAAACCCTCAGTTTGTTTCTCAGAGTCAATAGTCTCTCATGCTTCATCTCCCCCTCCGATTTCCCTCCCTTCACTTTTCCCTTCCTTCTCCTAATTGTCCTCCACGTTATTCCTTATGTTCCACAAATAAGTGAAACCGTATGATAACTGACTTTCTCTGCTTGACTTATTTCACTCAGCATAATCTCCTCCAGTCCCATCCATGTTGATGTAAAAGTTGGGTATTCATCCTTTCTGATGGCTGAATAATATTCCACTGTATATATGGACCACATCTTCTTTACCCATTTTATTTTATTTTTTTTTACCATTTTTCTACTGCTTTTTTCTTTTTTTAAACAATTTTTTTTACCCTAAACATTTTTAAATCCTGGATATTGAGCACAGTGGATGAGAATAAGGTTTTTGGGAGGCACAAGGGCCTGGGGTTCAGAAGCAGCTCTGCCAGGAGCTAGTGGTTTTCAGTTCTGGGCAAGAGTCTCCTTCTCTGAGCCTCATGGGTATCATTTGTGTGTCGTTCTGGAGCATGTCAGAAATATCACAGATCACCTGATGAAGTTAAATGCTTATCTGATCCAATATCGGATTATGTATGTAATCTGAACAGACAATCATTGTAGACAGATATAGGTCATAGACATAGATGCATAATATCAGGTATCAGGACTGATCAAGAAATATTTTCCCTATTTTACAGATAGAGATTATAGATTTAGATATATAATGTCAGATTCATCAGGACTGATGAAGAAAGTATTTCTTTTTCCTGATTTTCCCTATTTTCCAGTAATGTTTCCATTCATTTCAGCATCCAGAGCAGAGTGGCAGTCAGATTATGAAGTGTTGGCACAAGGGGGATTTCAAGGCACAGTTGACTCACTGTGTAGGTGCCACCCAAAGGCTGTCCCCTCCCCGCTGGCCCCTGGTCCCCGACTTCCCTATGGCTCCTCCCCAAACAGCACTGAGGGTGATCAGGGGCATGAAGGCCACACTGAGGCTCTTTCCACAAGTTTTTAACCACATCATTCATTCATCCAGCAAATTCTCATCGAGACCCAAACCACGGGGCCTTGGGATCCCATACAGTGGCTGTTTCCTCTACGGGACGCTCAGCTCCCCAGACAGCCCTGTGGCTCTCTCCTCAAACCTACTGCTGCCAGGATCACAGCAGAAAACCAGCAACACCCCCTCCTCCTTGCTAATCTTTAACCCACTCGATAGGGTGCTGTGCCATCTCACAGCCTGTCGCCTCACTGTTACCAGCCTCCTCCTACTCTTTAGAATATCAGCTCTCAAAGGCAGCAGCTGGGACCCCTTGGAGGTGCCCGGCAACCTCAGATATTTTTCGAAAGAGAGAATGAGTTGGCCATTAAAGATTTAATTTTAAATTCATCATGTCCACCAATTTAGTAAAAAGCCTAACATTAACGAGAAGACTTTGGGAGGAATCCTCCTTCTTGCAAATTGAGGCACAGATCCCGGTGAAAGGGAGGGCTGGTGCAATCTGGCTCCAAGGGCTCTCGGTGTTTGAAATCTAGAGACACTGAATGGATGTCCTCACATTTGTTAAGTAAGGGATGGGAAAGACCTTTCGCTGATTAACAGAGGTGGTTATTTCCCAAAGAGGCAGAGGTTCCAAAGTACTTTGTATAAAACTCAGTTTCAAAACTAATCCAAAAGCACTGGGAATCCTCATTTCTGTGTCTGTTTCCTCCCTCATCAGGTGCCCTGCTTTGGAGAAGCACCTGTGTCTAACCTTGAAATCCTGCCTCGTATATGCAACACCTATGACGGGGCCAGGCACCTTCTGGGCACTAAGAGATGGAATTCGTTAGGGGAGGAAAAAGAAGATGCACTCAATCAAATAAGAAGGCAGAGAAATGTCTAAGCATTTTTAGAACACTTTCCACTCAAGACGGTCTTTTGGAACAAAGGGCTTATTACTCTTAGCTTTTGGATATGGGTTTATGTCTTTAAGCCTCCTGCCACTTTCCTTTTTTTCTCCTGCAGACCTCTTGAATGGAAATAGGTAAGAAAACAGTACCTGGGTAGGGAATTTTCCCATAGGTGACGATTTCATACAGGAGAATTCCGAAGGACCACACATCAGACTTAATCGTGAAACATCCAAAGTTGATGGCTTCTGGAGCTGTCCACTTAATGGGGAATTTGGCACCTAAGGGAGAAGACATGTCTTACTTGGGCTTCTGAGCCGAACCAAAAAAGTCATGGGCATGTGGGTTTCATACTTTCTTTCTTTTGGGGAAAATTTTAACTATTTCTTTTGAATAGGTAGTGCACACACATAACACAGAACAGAGATGGCACAAAAATGCCATACTGAAAATAGTTGCCTCCCTCCCCTGTTTCCCTTTTGGGCATTCCCCCTATGAGAAGCAAAGTTTCTTATGTATCCTCCCAGAGACATCATAATGCGCCCACTTTAAACAAAAGAATATGGCACAGAATGCAAAGGCATTTGTTCTTAGCTTGTGTATTTGTCCCTCAGCAGCAGCCCCTAAAACATGTATCTTCAGTGTTCAAATGTTCTCCAATGAGCCCATACTATGTTTGTATGGAATATAAATTACCTCGATGCACACATTCTTTCGGACATCTCTGTAAGCCCATACCAATAGGAAATTTAGATACTACTTCACAGGTTAAGGTATCTCCTGCTTTCACTTGCTGAGCCCAGACATTACTACTTTTAGGAAGTGGGTAGCATCATGATCTGCACAGAGAGAGAGAGTGATGACACCAAGATTCACACGAGAAGCTGGGGCTAAGGGACAAACCTGGCTCAGTGGTCACTTGCAGGGACACCGTGAGGAAGGGACTCAGGCACAGAATGCCATCCCTATATGCTGGAAAGGTTAGGCTCCCACCAACCATTTTTAAAGATTTTAAACACGCTTGCCTTTATTAGGTCTTTGCTTTAGAATTTCTTGTGGTGTTAGACCCAAACTGGAAATCTGAACAAGATCAATAAGGACAGCAGACAGCCTCATGGACCTGCTAGGTACAGCATGTAGGGTACTCACTGTTGCACGATCTGGGGATTGACCCTGCATGGGTGGGTGGCAGCAGGGGGCAGGGTGGGGGGATGGGGCAGGGTGGCTCCAGGGTGGCCCTAGTTGGGGGGGGTGCGGTCACACAACTTGGTGTGAACCTGGCAGGCCACTTACTACTGTCTCTGGGGGTTCTCGGCACCTTCATCTATAAAACGTGGAGACATAACTTCCCTAAGGTTGGTGCCAGAGTTAAGTGGGTTTACCTGCATGCGTGGCAGGGGTAAATACCAACATAAGGTAATTATTATGGTGGGCCTGAAATGGCTACTATTTAATTCTAGAACCCAGGATCTCTGCACTAAGCCACCTGTCTCATCCAAGAAGAGTTAGTTATGGGGTGCCTGGGCAGCTCAGTCAGTTGGGTGTCTGCCTTCGGCTCAGGTCATGATCCCAGGGTCCTAGGATGGAGCCCTGCATCAGGCTTCCTGCTCAGCAGAGAGCCTGCTTCTCCCTCTTCCTCTGTCTGTGCTCACTCTGCCTACTTGTGCTCTCTCTGTGTGTCAAGTAACTAAATAGAATCTTCAGAAAAAAAAGAATAGTTAAGTTATTTTTGTGAGGCACCAGGCTTCTCTAATTCAACAGAGCCAGTGGACTATGTTCCAGCTGGTGAACTTTGAGGCTACATCTCCTGGGTTTGGTTCTTGGCTCTCCCTCTTACTATCAGACCTTAGAAGCCGCTGAACATCTCTGTGGCCTCACCTATAAGGTGGGAATGATAATAATAACAGCAACAACAATAGGGCTTATTACATAGGGTTATTGTAAACATAAATGAGATAACGTATAAAAACCACTTAGAGGGGCGCCTGGGTGGCGTAGTCAGTTAAGCATCTGACTCCTGACTTTGGCTCAAGGCATGATTTCAGGGTCCTGGGATCGAGCCCCATGTTGGCTTCCACGATTAGTGGGCAGCCTGCTTGAGATTCTCTCTCTCCCTCTCCCTCTGCCCCTCCCTGCTTTGTGCTCTCTCCCTCTGTCTAAAATAAATAAATAAATCTTTAAAATTAAAAAGAGAGAAAGAAAACCACTTAGAATGGTAACCGCCATACTGCAACTACTCACTACATTTTAGCTATTATTTTTCACTCCCCCTCCTCAAACTGTTTTTCTTCACCTGCCTTTTTGCTGAGAACAAGCTGTCACCCACCTAAGAGAATGCAATCTTGAGGCAGGAGGAGAACCGCCTGAAACATGATGGGCACAAGAGATGCTAAACAAATCAAACGTGGGACTCAATCCCAGGACCCTGGGATCATGACCTGAACCGAAGGCAGATGCCCAACCTACTGAGCCACCCAGGCGCCCTCTCTGTGTGTTTTAATATGTGTGGAATATGGAACATGGTTAAATAAAGGAGTGCATTACATTTACTTCTCTGTATGTGATAATTTCCGAGTTTTAATTTGCAATAAAAAGGCCAGAATACAGGATACAGAATTATTGTTGCAAATGTCTTCTCTACAGTTAGGAACAGTGTACTTCATTGTTTGGGTAAAAAGCTTGAACATACAATATAAACAAAGAATTCTGAACTTGCCAAACCTCTTTTTGTTTTCCTTTGCTTAAGTGAAATACAAATGACAACATCTGTAAACTTTACAAACAGTATGTGGAGTTAATCAGGAGAGTAATTTCTAAGAACAGATATGAGAACAAACCCACAAACAACAACTATGGTCCATTGTGAACATTTTGCCAAATGAGTTCTTTTTAAGGATGACTACTGTAACTGCTTTGTAAAAAAACAAAAAAGAACAGACAAAAACAAAACTAAGTAACAAAACATGTAAAGATAGTAAAGACGGTGAGGACACCATACCTTCCCTTGCTGTGTACTCATTGTCTTCGATTACTCGAGCAAGGCCAAAATCTGCAATTTTGCACATGAGTGACTCAGAGACCAGAACGTTAGCCGCTCGTAGGTCTCGGTGAATGTAGTTCTTCCTCTCGATGTATGCCATTCCCTCTGCAATCTGAAACCAGAAAGAGGCTCTCATTTTCAGTTTAGGGTCGGCTATCACGGAGGACCATCAAGGAAAACCAAAATATGTACGAGTTCCTGAAACCTTTCATGGATTGTTCATCCCAAGTTTTAAGCACAGTAGGTACATTACAATTAATATTTTGAGTCCTTTTTAAAAGAGCTGCCCCCACCCCAAATCTCCAATATAGGGGTCACATCTCAATGTGATTTTTCACACAGCTGCATGCCTTGACATTTTCTAACTGAGGGGGCTCTTTTTAAGACCCTACTAAATTCTTGCACGGAGATACACAGGTATCATGATCCCAGTGTTTCAAATGAGAAAACAGAGCTGGAGAAGGCGACATGCTAATACGAATTAAGTGACTGGGGTATCAAGGACAGGATGTCCTTGGTCAGCAGCATCCATGCGGGCTGGTTAATCAACAGCAGCCCGCAGAACCGGTTCTCTGAGTTCTCTCTGCTCCATGTTCCAGAAGGAACAGATTCACCCTGACCACAAAGCAGGACAGCAGGAAAGCATCCAAGATTTAAACAGAACCATAAAGTAGGGGAGGTGAGACTCTTCCTTCATTGCATGCTAGAAAATTGGGTTTTTAAGGAAATCAAAAAGCAATGTTTAGGGAGCACATTACCCAATTATAAAGATAAAGATCTGGAAGGAAGGAAGGAAAGAATGATGTCCCCAGCTCTGGTGAGCAGTGACAAGGCAGCTCTAATTAGGATTCTGTCACAGAGGAATGAGTGTATTCATCTGGATTCTACGTCAAATTCCGGCAGTCTCAGCTCGGAGGACCTGACTTCTCCCACTGGTGCCCTCCTTTCACAGCTCCTTTCAGTGAGGCCCTGCTGCTTTGCTTTGTAGGGAGCGCTGCTTCCTGGCTGTGCTACTCCTGGACCCTCCCCCACACCGCCTTTCTCACCTCCCCTTGGCCAATCCCTACATTTACCTTCTGCCCACAAGGCCTTCCCTGAACTCCTCTTGGCTGATTTCTCTTCACTCTCTGCCCACCCTCAATGGTGGATTCATAAGAAAACCATCCGCCCCTACTGATCAGAGCCCCGTCGTATTTTCCTGCTGTTCCGCGGGCTCACTTCTGTCATGCCTGCCTCAGGGCAGAGGCCGCCCCTTGGACCTTGTCAGTCTTCACGTGTACCTATTGGAACCCTCAACCTTGTCACCAGACTGCTTCTCAGAAAGTTCTTCAGGAAATGCGCTGGGTTTTCAGTGCTACTAGAGTACTACGTTGCCAGCACACTGGCTGCAGGAATTGGGCAGATGGGATTTTCACGGCCACAAAAGTCTGGCGTGTAATAATGAGCACACACGAGGGCAGTCTCTCAGTGTCCCTTCAGCCCGGCAGCTTGCATCTGACCGACCCCGAGGAACACCGTTTTGAACTGAGGAAATCGTACATCAGGAAGAACAGCAGAGGTCAGATCTTTTGTTTCTGCAGAATGACAATTTAATAACGTACGGTGTTTCCAAGCAAGAGTAGCATGCGTGGTCCTTGAACAGTGCTGGTCAAATGCAGAAGACCCAGGAGGGTGTGACCCCTACCAGTGATGCTGGAGTCGGGTCCCTGCCCTCACCCTGGACCACGGCGTCCCTCGGCAAGAATACTTTAATCCTCTATGCGAGTCCCACCAGGTCACTCCCTGCTTAAAACTAGCTTCAAGATAAGTCTGAAACTTTTTTAAACGATTTTACTTAATTATTTGTAGAGAGAGAGAGTGAGCACAAGCAGGGGAAGCTGGAGAGGGCGAAGCAGAGCAGGGAGCCCCACCTGGGGCTTGGTCCCAGGACCCTGGGATCACAACCTGAGCCAAAGGCAGACGCTTAATTGACTGAGCCACCAGGCATCCAGCGTCTGAACTCCTTACCACTGCTCTGCAGCCCTGTGTGACCCGGCCCCTGCTCAGCCCTCCCGCCTCCTCCCCGGTGACCAGCTCCTGTCCTGTATCCTATAACCTGTTTCCAGAGCTGCCTCTGCTTGGAACATTCAGTCTTGGCCCTTGGGCTGGGCCAACTCATTCTGTAGGCCTCAGTGGAGATGTCACTTCCTCCAGGGAGCCTTCCTAATCTGCCTGGTCCCAGGACACCCCCCCCTCCTGTTTACCTGCAGGAATGTAAATCCCTCAGAGCAGGTGTAATGCGTGCACATTCCTGTCCTTGGGCCCTTAGGTCACATTCCAATAGCTATATATAGACGGGGGCAGGAACCCCAAAGAGCCAAAGCTGGCCGCCATCTCAGGCGGGGCCTGCACCTGCATTTGGCTGTAGCCGTGAGGGACCTGTGCTGGGCCCCTCTCTAGGGATGCAGACTGACCCACACAGATGCGTGCTGGTGGCACGGACGGAGCCTCTAGGACACGGCACCAACTATCCACGTCTCACTTATTCTTGCTGGTGGATTTTAATGACCTACCTATTATATCTGTCATTCCTCTCAGAACTCTGAAGAGGCTGAAAGGAAATTTCTTTCCCAGAGTCACACCACAGGTTAGTGCAGTGGTTTGAAGTCAGCTGAATTTCCCTTCTGTGCATTTAGCAGTTAAGTCTCAATCCTATGCTAGTATTTCTTAACTTTGGCTCACCTAGGCCTCACTCTCACTCAATTAAACCTGAACTATGGGAGTGGGGCCTCCCCAGGTGATTTCAACAGACAACCCAGGTGCAGAACCGCTCTAGACCCTTGTGATACGAAGTGTGGCCTTCGGGCCAGGAGCAGCCTTAACATCAAGCGGGAGCTTGGCAGAAGTGTGGCATTTTGGACTTGAACCCAGATGTGTTCATTCAGAATCCGAATTTTAACAAGATTCCTAGGTGATGTGCCTGCACATTAAAGTTTCAGAAGCACCACACTAGATCATACACTTTTTTAAACTTAAGCTATTTTATGATTCAAAGTTCTACATGGGGGGGCGCCTGGGTGGTTCAGTCAGGTAAGTATCTGCCTTTGGCTCAGGTCATGATCCCCGGGTTCTGGCATCAAGCCCTGCATCAGACTCCCTGCTCAGTGGGGAGCCTGCTTCTCCCTCTCCCCTGCTTGTGTTCTTTTTCGCTCTCTCTTTTAAGATCTAAAAGAAAAAAAAATTCTACTTACACTGGAAGGAGCTCTTGATCTCAACACATTACCTACAACCTCATAATGCCTGGGAAAGGAAGCTCACACAACTCAGCTTAAGCCACAGAATGAGCAGGGTGAGCACAGATGGCAGTAAGGAGCCTGGGCCAGGAGGGAGCAGGCTAAGGTTTGGGGCCTGATGACAGAGGTGCTGGGAATGCCCTGGCTGAAGACCTAGTCCATCGACAGCTCAACATGTGTGTCTTGAGCCTCTGTGTTTCCTATCACTCAGGGAGAGACTCCTCCAGTCTACGGCTTGGGGACAGGGGACCGTGGCCTCCCTCTCTCTGTATCATGCTTCTGGGGCTGGGCCATTACCTCGAGGACTTGGGAATGATTTGATCTTCATGTTTTGAATCATATGAAGAGATGCTCTTCATCCTGGACCACAGCGGCCTCACACAGCCAGGACCGGAGAGGTACAAACTCGAGAAGACCTCAACTCTTGTAAACTCCCTGCTGAGGCTACCGAAGGAATGAAACAAGTCTCTTATGATCATGTGCTCATTCCTAACTCTGTAGGAGAGAGTCTGCATGTGATGCTACTGGAAAGTTGAAATAAAAAGTGCCCCCCCACCCCATTACTCAAGACAAGAGCACTCGTGTAAGAAGACAACGTTAGTGATGTTTTCCGACTCTGGGTTTAAAGCTGATTTACGTTTAGGTGTGCTTTGCATTTCTCAGGTCCTTCAGCTCACAGACACGGCGAATGTACATTTCCTAGTTCCTCTTTTTGCCCCTTCAGTGGAATATATGATGAGGACATTTCTCCCTTGGGTGTGTGTGTGTGTGTGTGTGTGTGTTGTGTTCTGCCATCCTGGGAGGGCCAAGAGGAATTATTAAGATGGTGTCCCTGAGCCAGTAACCCCACATGGGTTCTGGTGAACTTTTAGGCATCTACTACCTGGTGCAAGTTCTAGGCACAGGGGCCATATTAAAAATGCTACTCCCCAAGATAAAGGACAGTCTTCTGGTCAGGGGCTCCAGGAGCAGACTTCCAGGCCCATGCACTGCAAGTTTTTCAGAGGCCGTTTGGATGCTGTGTCAGAGAAAAGGAATTGCTCATCTGGTCCCAGCAGATGTACTCTCCACGGCCCACAACAAGGTCGAGGGCGCCATGTCCTCTGGGGGTGGGGAGTGACCCAGCTGTCTTGGCTGGTGGGATAGCTGGATCAGGGGTGGATTTCAGACCCTCCTCAGCCTCTCAGAGGGCCCCTACCGGCACACTCTACACAGTAGTGTTGCCAGCATGTGTCTATTTCCTGATATATTCGTATCTACAGATGCTATTTTACACACACGCAAATACGTAGACATACACGGCCAGCTTTCAGAACGCCAACATTCCGTAAAGCACTGAGGCCTCTGTGTCCTCTGCTTATCACGTTTGACGACACAAACATGCATACACCCATCGCGCCTGTGTGCACGCTGACGATGACCAAAGTGGGGACAGAACACAAAATCTAGAGTTCTATTTACTTTGCAAATACATTTCTTTCCCCAGAGTACAAGGTCAGAAATCAGACCAAAGTTTTCAGACGCATGTGAGCTGAACTAACAAATTTGAATTCCTTCTCCCGCATGAACGTTCAGATGGAAGGTCTGTGTTCCTCTTCCTAAAATGAGGAGTAAACATGGCGGGCAGCTCTGCAGACCCACTTCACACATCCCTGCCTGGGCTGCTCTGAGGAAGGCAACAGGGCTCCCGCTCTCTGAGTGACATACAGCTTCCCTCATCAAATACGTTGACTGAGAAGTGAGTTGCCAGTGGCCAACTGGGGACCTCAGTACAGTTCTGCTTGGGGCAGGAAATACCTAAGGACTCCAGCTTCTGGATAAATGCCCAATGGGCTTATTT